AATAGAATATTTTTTATTGATCTCCCATTGGGGGAAATTTACACGCCACAGCAGAATCCAAAAAAATAGAAAGAAAATAGCCATATGGCTGTTGTTAAAACACATGAATGAGTGTAACCCTGAAATTGTTTTCCTGAAGAGATAAAGCAGCCTGTAAGGATGTCCTCAGTGTTAGGGTTGGGATAGTACAAAACAGGATTTAAACAGGAAAAAAAATCTTTAACAAGGCCAAAAGTGACACGCATGGGTTCCAGTAAGTCAAAACAAAGCTGTCATCGACAAATTTACCAACTATGTTTAACAAAATATTTTTATTTCATTTTATCCAATTGAGCTTCGCACGTCTCCTGGAAAACTACACCTGAGGTTGGGTCCAGTGGGGGGAAAATTTAAACTTTGTCATAGGACTAAACATGATACATCACTGGAAAGGACTTGATCAGGGGAGTAAGATTATATCAATCTGGAAGCTCAAAGTTGCTCTTATGCAGAGATATTGACCTTTGAACTTTGACTTTGGTGCATCTTTTAAAGCTTCTAATTCAACAATGCAAGGGGCTAAAATCATGGGACCAACTGTTATACAAAGCTCTTGACTTCTACTATCATGTAGGCTGTGGCTTGATTTTTTTCACCAGCTGGGGGTATCACAAAAAAAATTTAACCTATCTATATCAATTTCATTTGTAAATTTAGTCCAAATAAACACGCTCCTCATCAATTTGATCCCCCAAATGCACCTAAAGTTTTGTATTTCACCCTCCATTTAGGAGAAACGGCTATTTTGAAGAAAGAACTACAACTTCCAGTAGCACTACAATGCAGCGTGATTGGACACGCCATGAAATATGTAGTTCTTCTTGGGGTTTACAACTAGGGTTGTGTTTTTGTATTAATAAACTAAAATAAACGGATTGAAGTACTGACAAATGTGCCTTCACTGTCATTCGGGAAGACTGCGTTTTGTTACAATGCCTCTTGGTCCTGAAATTTGATCCAGAAAACGTTCAAATTGTTTGACCTCGTTGTCTTGGGAGATTTTAAATGTTTGTTACAAACTGTAAAAACAGAAGTCTGTAGCTGCTTTAAATGAGTTTTTATGTACTGTATGTATCCCATGTATTGATGCCTTATAGTGATGATATATTATATTTAGTTTATTTTTTGTGTTGTATTGTTGTAACCCTTGTTGCTGCCCTCTTGGCCAGGGCTCCCTGTAAAAGAGAAGTCAGTCTCAATGGGACTCACCTGGTTAAACAAAGGTTAAATAAAAATAAAATAAAAATAAAGTCTAATCCATGTAGTATGAAATAAGTGTAAAAGAGTACTTCGTATTGTGGTATTTTTTTGTGTTTTTATTACCCTGGCAGTGTTTGGGAGGAATTTGCGCTCGTTGCTAAGGCAGCCCTGTTAGCATCGGCGCGCAGCCTCCCCGTAGACCCCGTCCTACAGAAGAAGAGATCCGTCCTACAGGGTCTGTAATGTTTTTGTGTGTACAGTAGGTGGCGGTAATGCACCTGAACGTTGGATGCCAACCGCCAAATCAATAGAAGAAGCAGCAGCAGCAGTTAGGCTAGGCTAGGCTAGGCTAGTAGCTAATGTAGCCAGGCTCGACGAGCTAGCTAAAAGCTGCACAAAGCTACAGATACACTCCTCACTGCTGGCCTCAGTTACAATAGTCAGATTATCCATCGCTGCGATCACAGTCCATCTTCTTCATTTTCCTGCATGTGTCCTTCTTTTCAGAGTTGTGTTCATTTACAGAGAAAGTAACGACGAGCATGTAGCCCAAACACAGTAAAAGCACTTTTATTTTATCACAAATAAACGACAATAGCTATGAACGATATTTTTGGGATCACTTTCAGAGCGATCTCAGAACAGCTTCTCTCTGCCTGGATATTTTTTGCCTTTGTTTGAATGAATACGGAGCTTATACGCAGCTGGAGCACACGGTAGCTGCTTAGCGCCGGTGTTTACAGAATGTTAATGTTCATCAGTGTGGGCGCACACATCTGTATAGTGATCTCTGTAGTTATTAGTGTGGACGGGCCATAACAGGAAAATTGTTTACTGCCTGACTGTCGGAAAAGAAGAACGACATAAACATCACAGCATATGTGCTGTCTGATAGGGGAAACGTAGCCCAGACATGAAAGATAAGTCCAAATGAAATGTATTAGTTTGAAAATTTGTGCCGGGGAATACGAAAAAGTTGGACAAATCATGTCCCTGGAACACGAAACAATAAACTT